TGCTGCCCTAGTGCCTTTTGTGTATCAACGGTTCTAAACATTGAAAAAATGTGTACAGTGATTTTCAAAAAGGTACTCTTCCTACTTATTCTTTGAAGGGGTGAAGCTAGCAAGCTGAAATTTGAACTAATAAAATTGACGCATGAATACCATGTTTCAGTGTAAAGGATTCAGTTGAAAACTACATCGCAAAGCTTCACTCGAGTACTTTATAACTCTAGATTCTAGAATATAAAGTTACTATCTTGCAAAATGGCGGACCGGCAAGTTGTCATAGGGTTTTTGTTCATTTAGTCGCTTATAACTCCATGAAAAATTATAAAAAATGATACAGTATGATATTTCAATCTTCTGCCCTTTTAAAAATATTAGTGTGCCAGGTCTTCTCAAACGGAATGTCCCGTGTTTCATTGCACATTTAGATGGATACTTCCAAAAGAAGGACATTGATACTACATAATATACGGTTTTGATGACTAGTTGTAGAGTTATAAAATGTAGAAAAATGCTCAACTTTGATAGCCTGCCAATCCGCCATTCTGAAAGGCAGATATTTTATATTCTATTGTTATAAACGAGTTTTAAAATGAGGTATTACATTACTCCCACTTAAAAAATGTTACAAGGTGGCATCCAGAAGTATTCAACTGTTATTTTTAAGTTAAAATATAGTATCCATATGTCAATTTCATCATCCAGAATTTCAGCTTGCTAAATCAATCCGTTCAAAAAATGAGCGAGGGGATCCTTATGAAAACTATTGTAGGTACGACGGTGAGAATAGGATGGCTAATACTGTTGGTATGAATATTTAGTCCAATGCTACCCACTATGATGACATGCTACAAGCATTGCCGTAGAGGGATGTGAAGCGGATGACTTATAGTGAGCGTGGGGCATCTCATACTCTGGAAAGGATCTCCCGCTGTGCAAAAGACACTTAAGTAACCAATGGAAGATCTTAAGACTAACCTATTTTTGGTGACTATTTCTTATCTTGGAATGTCGTCACCAGTTTTGGGCGTTCTTCGAATAAATTGTTAGCTAAATAATTATCGTAATAAAAATGTATTCGCATCACAAGTATTCCGCTTACGAATAAATTACTGGTGAGTAAATCGACTGGGATTAAATTATTCGTGACTTTATTCGTTGTATTAAATGAGTTTTAAACACTTAAATACACAAGCAATAGATGAGTCAAAAAATATTCTGTAGACAGAGTTGTTGTGGATCCAGAAAGCTCATTTGTTGACTTCCAATCAGATTCAAGAAGTAAAGCGGCCTTACCAAGGTAATAAGTGAAAACGAGCGTTTCGGTCATCATGTCTAAGTATTTTGCTCACGAGAATCCTAGTTAATATAGGTTTTTATATCGTTACACTGTCATAAAATCAATTTTTCAAAAACAACACGATATTGCCTTCATTTGCAATTCCCTAAATTATTTTTTGTGCTCCGTCCAAATGTTTTTGAGTTTATGGGACATTCTTAACAAAAAATAAACGTTTATAAACTAGGAGACATACGCGATACGATATTTAAAAAAAAATGCGTAAAATACCATTTTTTACCCCAAAAGACAACATGAGAAAAAGGAAAATTTTTATGTTGCTAATATTTCTTAATATTCTTCAAATATCCTTTAACAAGGTCTCAAAGCATTTCAGGAGGTAACGCTATTGTGAACCTTTTTTTAAAATTGTTAATCGAGTATGCGCTAAATGGTTATTCACTGCGGCTAGCGGTCCCCCTACTTCTTGCATCTTTCTTGCACTCACGCAGAGTATTTACTGAGCCTGCGATTGATTAACAATTAAAAACAAAAGTTTACAATAATTCCTTCTTAAATGGTTTTAGATTTTCTTAATGGATGTTTGAAGAATATCTAGGAACATTGGTAACACTAAAATTTTTGTTTTTTCATATTGTTTTTATGGGTCGAAGATGACGTAAATTTCGCACTCTTTCAAATATTGCATCCCTTATATCACTAGAAATAACAACTTTAGAGAAAAGTTCTAAGACACTTCTAAACTAGCAAAGTAGTGCTATAAGCTTTTGGTAAAAGAACCATTCAGCCATAAAAGCTCTCTATTGTTGTTGCCTGAACACCAAAATGCTGGCTTAATGTTGTGTGGAATGCAGATTTGCTTTCTGCAACATATTTGCTTTAAAATGAGGTGATTAAAATATTCTTTAGTATAGTTATACAACACCTTATAGGACAAATTTTTAACTTTTGCGTAAACGTTTATACAACTATTTTATACGGCATATTTGCACGTTAGTCAAAATGGTTGTGTTTTGGCATCCATGGTAACGTTTATAAAACAAACCCGAGCCTTGTTTTGCTGTGCATATTACTACTTTAGCCAACAAGTTGCTCCCAACGGAAGCACTTATACAACTGTTGTTTAGTAACTGTTAAAGGCTGTACGTATGCTAAATATGTAGGTATACAACTTCACCATAACCTAACTTTCTGCTGTCATATTTTTGTTAAAATGCCATAACCAATGATTTTAGACAAATAACGCATGCATATTGGTTCAAAAGGTTTTATCAACTGTTCAAACAGAAGGTATAGATCTGGTACAAATTCTGGGTAAATCATTGGACTCTGTCGGTATTTCATTTCAGACATTTGTCAAATTGTTGTATAACACTTGCAGGAAACACCAAAATATTCTAATAAACTGAAGACAACATGGACGATGCCATGATTATACACAACACCAGCCATATTGGACAAATATTTATTCCCCTATTTAATATTAAATAATTATGTTTCAGTTCGAAATTACAGATATAAAGTGATAAACAATTGTGTCTAAATATAGGATTTGTGGAAGATTTGACGCAGATAAGTTCAGTTTTCATCTTAAAAATCTAGACATACGTTTGATCATTATCAAAATATGCATCAAATAAGAAGCCCGTAGAAATTGAGTAACTACTCTGCACGATAATCACAATAAAATTTGCTGCGCAAGTAATTCAATAGCCCTATATCACAGTGTAGAAGTTTATCATATACCTGTGTATGAAATTCACAATGGCCGATATGTAAGTAAACAAGATGACTGTAATGTGTTAGTTATATATTCTTCACTTCGTCTATGCAATACATAAGAAATAGTTTGGTTGCAATAAAGTAGAATCACGTAACAGAATAGTTGTATAGTTGACAAAAACTGAATCTTCAACTGACGCAAATGTCCTATAGCGGCTGCAAGGGGCTTACACTTTTGTTATATAAATGTTACCTGCAGGCCGTATACAACCTCTTAAATGACTGAAGTGTCCTATTAGGTGTGCCCATTCCGCTTGTATAGCTGTTTTAAGAGGGTTTTGCCAATGTTCTTACAGTATACAAAGCTGTGTAAGGAATACTGTATAATTATTTTTGCAACTCTAATAGGAATGATAATTGTTAGTTGGGTTATTTTCATCAGAATGTCCCTTAAAAACCTAAGATTACCTTGACAAGAGCGAAAAAGGACATTTCTTGGAGCTTGTAAAAAACTTGAAAGGACCTTTTTGAATATAACATTATACAAAAAATCTGAATCCGAATATTTTTTCCATCAGCTGCGACGATAATGCCCGGACTAATAATGGTTTATTCGTACAGTAGCTAGTAACTTGTCGGTGACTGTCAAAATCAGAATCAGAGAGATGTTCCTGCTCGTACAGTTTCTGATTGTTTGCCGACAGCTAGTCCGCTGTTCGTACAGAACCGTCTGACAGCTCAGAGAATGCGAGTCGATAAGAGTCATTGACAGGTGTCACAGTGTGTCGAAACTACCTTCAGGTCTAATATTGCGTGGGGACACTTTTGCGCGGGTGGGCCGTCGGCGATCTAGTTCTCTTCTATCGCTAATATTTGCTCCTCTAGCTCCGCTCGATGATGCCGCCACGCGATGTGCCTGCCAGATAGACCCGCCTGACTGATAGTGTATCAAGATTGTGAGGGGATGCTGAGGCTTTTCCCAGTTATATTATCCATAGGCAGCTTAAACATCGGATTAACAAAGTTGCTTTAAGCTCCTCATAGCAGTCTCGCTGCCCAGGCGTTTAGGCTTTGCCTGCGCGGCTGCTTGTGAGTGAAAAAAAAAACTATGAGCGATAAACCAAGCAGCGAAGACTCCGAGAATGAAACCCAAAAAACCTGAATTTTGTGGTGGAATTAGTGCTACAATTTCAACAGCGAGTTTTTGTAATATTTTCGAGTGAGCAATACAGTCGCAGAAAAAAATTCAGTGAAATTCCGTCGTGGTAACCATTTTAAATATCAGGCAGCGCCATATGGAAAGCTAACTCCGTATAAAGAAACCTGTACATTTTTTTCTTTTGCTGGATATCAAACAGCCATGTTCAGGGATGTAGTTGATAGGTTCAATGTTTTCTTGAGTACCTTGCAAGCAGTTATATCCAGACTTACCAACTTTTTGAGTAGTCTAGCACCAGAAATCATAAAATGGTCAACAGAAGAAGAAAGATGTAGGACAAAGCGGTATTTCTTCAATAAAATATAGATTTCCTGGAATCGTTGACATCATTGACGGAACCCATATAAAGATTGAAAAAACAGATGATGATTCGTAATGATATACGAGTATTAATAGAAAAGGATGCTTCTCTATACAGATTGGTCTAATTATGGGAAAACACCGATCCACCAAGTAAAGTTACTAATTTCTGAATAATTACAGCTTACCCAAAATTAGCTTAAAATAAGCGTTGTATTTAGCTTCGATCGTATGTAATTATTCCTTCCATACTATAATTTTCATCTCGAAAATACGTGTATATTTGCATGACATAACTATTTTCATTATTATTATTTTCATTCCGCACACAACTTATATGCGACCAAGATTTGAAAATTATCACTATGTTCAATGGTTATTCGGGCTCTGTACCTGATGCTAGGGTTTTTAAAATGCCACAAATTTTTCAAATACTACATCAGAATTGTGGTACCGATCACATACCCGCATACCCCTTGTTACCCAACCTCTTAATTCCATTCCAAGACCTTGGCCAGCTATCATCCACAACTAAACTATAACAGAAAACATTCTTAACATCGCATTCTAGTAGAGCACTGAAATGGCCCTTTGAAGCAAAGAATGTAGGTAACTTACCACGTTAAGAAGCATCAGATAGTGCATTTCATACGATCGTGATAATTTTGCAGCGCAGCACACGGAAGATGGTCATAATAATGACCTCAAAAATTCTCCATCAGAGCTAAGTGATGTGGCAGAGAATAGTGATGGAACTGTGATGTTAATTATACATATATTCGGCTATAAGTTGTCCCCACTTGTAAGTTTTTTATATGACTATAAGGTCTAACATAAAATTATCTGTTTTCAATACGCGTTCCAAAATATATGTATTCATATTTGATGCAATCTCAAATCAGTTTAAGCTATAAAAGTGATTCGTGCTCAATATTTTATTGGCCGTGTAAAGGCAGAAATGCGATCCTAGATTAGAGCATTAGAAGACAAAACTTTCAAGAACCACAATAATTAATACTATTTTTTAGTGAACACTAACTTTTACAAAATTTTGGTTGCAGTTACAAAATGCGGAAACACGCGATTAGTTTGTTCCTACCTGTGTTACTAGTTGTCGTGTTGATCAACTTTGCCATCTCAGATATTTATATTTATCCATATTTCTGCTTGTAGTATGTCTCAAGGGTAAAAACGCGACTTGACTTATGATTTTTGTCTGATGAGTTTTTGTATGTTCGTAGACTCATTTGTGAGCAAATCTTGGTAACGGTAGTTATGCTCAGCCGTTTAAGCTTTTTAGTGTATATTCATCTTTTGTTATTCAAAGATGTTATTAAGTCTTTGTAGTATTTTTACTTCTTTATTCTAGTGAGACTACATATAAGGAAAATATTTTCAGCACAAGATATGAAAATGCTCAACTTTGACAACCTGGCAGTCCGCCATTTCCAAAGACAATCGGCCACTCCGGACCCTTTGAAAATAGCTAGTAGTAGTAGTAGAAAGATTTATTTAGCACATTTGGCTACATAAACAGAATATGTAATTGTAAACAACTTAGAAGTAGTAAATTCAAGCCATATGGTGTATGATGTAAGTGCTGGGCAACCTATAATTGTATACTAAGTGACATATAAATCCGAACACCCAGTTTAAAAGGTTTTATTTTAATAAAATTTTGTATAAGTACTTAATGAAGCATAATAAGTAAATGATAAAAATTTCAAAATGATTGCACTGCTTTAAAGCCCTTTGACCTTTAATAATGTGTGGATGCACCCTGATGTGCTACGCATTCTCCAACGCGCCTGAGCATGCTTCTGATCAGGTGGTCAATGTCCTCCTGTGGTATCTCATTCCAGGCAACCACCAACTCCTCTCGAAGTGCTTCTAGAGTCTGAGGAGGACGTTGCAAATTGAGCAATCTCCTACCCATCATATCCCACACGTGCTCAATTAGGGATAAGTCGGGAGATCTTGGTGGCCATGGTAAAAATGTGACATCATTATGTTGAAAGAAGTCTATTGTGACTCTTGCAACATGTGGTCGGACATTATCTTGTTGGAAAGTTGGATCTGCCAGGGTGTCAAGATATTGTAAAAGATGGGGTTCTAGAACTTCGTGGTTATAACGCTGCGCGTTCATGTTACCTCTGATGAAGATTAAAGGTGACCTGGAACCATAAGCTATAGCACCCCAAACCATAACTCCAACAGTGTGATGAACATGTCTTTCAACAAAAAACTGTGGATTCCTCCTTTCACCACGCCGCCTTCTAACCCTGGCACGACTATCGTGCATGCTTAAACAAAATCGAGACTCGTCACTAAAGACAATACTGTTCCATTCCTGGTCCCAGAGCGACCGTTGTCTGCACCACTCAAGGCGATTACGTCGGTGATCTCGAGTTAAAGGGAGGACCCAGTATGGCCGGTATGAAAACAAGCCAAAACTTCTCATTCGTCGGTAAACACTTCGCATGCCAATAGGTCTTCCGTGTTCTGCAAACCATTCATTTGCAATGGACCTGGTAGTGGAGAAACGGTCCCTTAAGGCCAATAATCTTAGGCGGCGATCTTCACGGTCTGTTGTTCTACGGCGACGTCCAGTGCCCCTTGCTCTTTGCGTACGGCCTTCTCGAAGCCATGCCTGACAACACCTAACCACAGTGTCTACACTTCTTTGCACTCTAACTGCAATTGCCCGAAAAGAAAGTCCAGCTTCCCGAAGTCCCACTATACGGCCCCTATCAAACTCACTAAGTTGACGAAATCGTACAGGTCTCCGTACTCTAGGCATCGTAACCGATCGTAAAGGATGTCAAGAACCAAAATCCGCCAACTTTGATTCTTTACTGCGGCTGAAATATTCATTTTTAGAGCGTTAGTGAATTAAAAAAAAGCAGTATAAAAACCGGAGTGTCCAACTGATAAGGCTGAAAATTTTTTCACTTGTTATTTACAGTAAGATAAATACATTCACCAACTTTTATTAAAATAAAACCATTTAAACTGGGTGTTCGGATTTATATGTCACTTAGTATATATTTAACAAGTGATTTCACAATTTTACTTTAAATTTTGTCAAAGTTTTCTGGTCTTTTATCTCTGAGTATAATTATATTATATTCAATCAACCCTTTGATGATGTTAAATTAGTTAGACTTGATGGAAATATATTATTTTTTACTTTATTAATGAATATCATTACAAGATATTTGATAAATTTTTTTACATTGAGCCATTTTAATTTGCTAAGCATTTGCCTAATTGAAGTATACTTATCTTTACTTAGTATTATTCTCATGCACTTATTTTGTAAAATTTGCAGTCTTTCAAAAATGGAATTATTTGCTAAATATAGAATAGTCGAACAGTACAAGAAATTTGGAAGAATGACGGTATTATAGATAATTTTTCTGCTATATGAACTCAGACATCCAGAAACTCTCGATAAATATCCCACTTTACTATTTATAACTTTTTCATAATGAATATCAAAAATTAATTCGAGAGTCAACAAAAAACCCCAGGTATTTAAAATTTTCTACGAATTCAATATCTTCACCATCAATATTCAGTTGAACATTAAATTTGTACATTGTTTTTTTCCGATTAACAAGGCATTCGTTTTACTTGTATTTAATTTCAGTCTGTTAGATGCTAACCATTTTGAGACAACTTTCAAGCCTTCATTTATATAAGAGATACCAGACTGAATATTTTTAGTACTTATATAAATCATAGTGTCATCGGCGAAAATCTGAATTTTGCATTTTTTTACTATGGCAGGTAAATCATTTATGTATAAAATAAAAAGAAGTGGTCCTAGGATACTGCCCTGTGGAACACCCAACGTATTTTCAATTTTTGATGAAATAGTGTCATTAACTTTTGTAACTTGAATCCTTTTAGACAAATAATTTCTAAACCAATCTAAAACACTTCCTGTTATACCATATGCCTTCAATTTACCTAACAAAATATTTCTATCAATCGTTTCAAATGCCCCCTTCAAATCCAAAAATACTGCTATGACAACTTCTGGGTCTATAGCTCTTCTCCAATTCTCATTACCAACTGTAAAGCCGTTTCTGTGGAATATTTTTTTCGAAAGCCTGCTTGCGCCTCCACTAAAATTTTGTTTTCTTCTATAAACTGCATTAATTGGTCATGCACTATGGACTCTAATAATTTTTCAATGTCTGCTAACACATTTACTGGTCTCATATCGCTGCATCTTTTAGAATTTTTTATTTTCGGAACTGGTGTTATTGTAGAGCATTTCAAATTTTCAGGAAAAGAACTGCTTCTCAGTGAACAATTATTGATCCAATTTAATACAGGATATCCCAAAATTTCGAAACAGTTTTTCAGCACGTTTTTAGTATTGATTTCGGCACAGTTGTTATTTGATTTTAAACTGTTTACTTTTTTTCTTAGATAATTCAATGATACGCTGTGAAAGTTTGAAAGTGTATGCAACATTTCCCCCTGGAAACTGATTTTCATATAGTCAGGTGCAGCATTGGCAGTACCCACAATATCAACAATACTTTCCACAAAATATTCATTTAGTTTGTTTGCAATCACCAAAGAATTTCTTTCGGTACCGTTTTCGAATTGAACTTGATTTACACAATCATGCGGCTTCGAATTGATCAGTCTTCCACATATCTACACTGTCGATTTTTTTTTTTTTTTTTTTATTTAACAGATAGTACCGCATCAACCTCGTAGGGTTATTAGCGGCGTGGACGGCACAATAATCTATGTATTGAAGTACATGTCAATGTCTTTGATAAATTTCACAAGTTTATCGGTTTGATGCAGTAACACTTCACTGATGTCATTAGAAAGGTGGTTGAGACTTCTGGCATTTTGATAAGTAGGGCACTCCATCAGGATGTGAACCACCGTGAGCCGCTGGTTGCACGTTGAACAAACTGGGGCATCGGTTCCTTCGAAGATGTGCTTGTGAGTCACTAGTGTGTGGCCTATCCGGAGACGTGACATAATTATCTGGTTCCTTCTTCCTGAAGGTAGGGTGAATCGCGTGTTGACATCTGGAGCAATTGCGAGTAGTTTGCTGTGACTGCCATTCCATTTCTGTTGCCAAAGACTGGTTATGTGCACTTTTATTAGTCCTTTCAAATCTTGGTAGGGTGTACGAATCACACTTCTGCTTGAAGGGACTGCCGCTCTTGATGCTTCTTTGTACACTGTCGATTTGTTTATCGTAGAATTTCCTTTTTTCTTCTCTAATTACATACACACATTTATTCCTAAGAGTTCTATATACCTCCCAACCATCATTTGATTTTGTGAATAACCTACATGTATTGTTACATCATTATACCAGGGTGTATTTTTTGTCGAGTAAATCACTTTTTTATCAGTTGCAAGATCTAATCAAGTTTGTATATTTCCTATTATGTTGTCGTATATTTTTTCCATATTCTCACCAAAATTCCAATAGCAGCCAGCAAGTTCTCGTTCAAGTTTTTCGTACTTAATAGTATTTACGATTTTCTTAATTTTTGTATCAGAAAAATGCCCTACCAAGGGCAGCATTGTTCAACTGTGATCACTAACTTTAGGTGTATGTACAGCTTTAATACCTGC